GGTGAGAAGAATTTCATTACTACATGCCCACATTTGTGTTTTAGAGGTGACTTGAGTGCTGAGGACTTCAAGTCTGCTTCCAGGTAACAGGACTTGGGCTTTAAGTTGCTTCTGGAAGTAGTCCTCTAAATATGTATTAAGTATAACTTCAACGAGGGATGGGAAAGAGCAGAGCAATGTTCCCCCTCTCCAGTTCTCTGTGTGTGTTTCAGCAAAGTGCACCAACACCCAGTGCCTCGTGTATGTCCTTGTGCAGCACTGAGCTTCCCCTCTCCAGCTTGATCACTGTCAGGGAGGCAAGTTCGTGTCAGGAAGGTTTTCTGCAGCAAGTCCTTCTGCAACTGCTGATGATGCTACAAGAGCTCTGATAGAGCACACAGCATCTCCAAACACCTCAGGTCTCGTGAGGTCTCAAACCCCGCTCAAAGCAAGGATAATTCTGCATTTTGGGCTCTTCCCCAGGCAAGTTTGGAGTAGTGATGGCAACAGCACAGCCTCTCCAGGACCTGTCCCAGTGTCTGACCGCCTGTGTTGCATAAACGGCTCCCCATGACAGCTGCCCTGGTGGCTGGGGTCTGCCTCAGCTATTCTCAGGCACTGTGAGCTCACTGAATAAGATAACTTCTATCCCTCTGCATAAAAACCTAATTATGTTAAGGCCTAGACACATAATGATTGAAAAGTGCTGGGCAGATTAAAAGCTTCATGCTCTATCTTTTGCCCATCAAAGCACCCCATGAAAACACTCTACCTGCTAATTATGGGTATGCACACAGGCCCACTGGGCTTGTTTTTGCCATGTTATTACAACGCTGTACCTGGCAGGGTGAGATGAGAGGTCAGGGCTGCAGATCAGTAAACAGGAACAAAACTGGGAAACCTTAAAGACAACTGTAAAGTGAAGTTTTTCCACTCAAAGTTTGATCTATTATTGTAATGAATGTTGCATCCTGCAACAGGAAGGTAGAAAAATAACAGGAAGGATTCCAAGGAGAAAAGGACAAACCTGCAGTCAGAGAGAGCTGGGCAAAGAAAGTCTTCCCAAGCTCATCAGCTTCAACTGAAAAATGGCTTTCAGCTCACCCTGCATAATGTGATTTGTATGCTGTTCAGAGCAATCATTAGACGAGGTAGTTATCTGGCTCTGTTATGTATTATGGTACAGGTGCAAGGTCTGGAATCCCACATAATTGCTGCATAGATCTAGATTTAGCCTATCATCATTTTTCACATTAGCTTCTGAAAGAACAGAAAGAGCTTTACAGTTGCTGTGTGGTGGGCTGTGAAGCCAGATTCACTCCTTCAGTGATCCCCCAGGCAGGGGAAAAGGCTGTGGGACACCAGACCCAGAGAAAGGGATGCACGGCTCACAGAGATGGGCAGTGCTGCATCTGGTTGAAAGCCAGAGCCAGTGTTGTGAAGGAGAATATAAGCCAAGGAACAGATAATGACCCATTACTAGCTGCCCCTCTGAGTACACATGGGACACCTTCCCCTTGGGGAGCCTCTGTAGGCTCCTGTAACCAGACCCATGTGGAGGCTGATGCACAGAGAGACTCAGTGGTGTGCCTGAGATCATGCAAAGGGCAGCAGTGGCAGGGATGGTATCATGAGCCCCTGTCCTGGGCTTTAGTCACAAAAGCATCACTGTCATGCGGTTAGGTTGTCTTGGCAAGGGGAGATCGGTTTTATTTAGAAGTTTCTAGGAAAGCTGCGCCCTTGAGGCTTGTTTAAACAAGTACATCCCAGGGCTTAGTTTATAACAGCCTGCGTTGGTGCTGCTCGGTGCAGCCCCTGCAAGGACCACATGTACCCAGTGCTCTCTGGCCGCCCCCAGCTTTGCCAGCACTGCCTGTCACAGCCCTGCTGAATCCTGCCGGGCACTGTCCGGGGCAGTGTGTCACCGTGTCCTACTAACCACGGCTCCCCTGCCCTGGCAGAGTGACCTGCACCCCTCTAATCTGTACCCAGCTCAGCCTAACGCAATCCCCACTGGAATGGCCCGTAATTAACACTGTGTAACCACGGGATGGGGTGAGGCGCAGGGCGGAACCAGTGGACAAACAAATAAAACCAGGACACTGAAACCAGGCTAGTGCCCTTCTAGCAATGTCACCCTGCAGCCGGCTTTCCCATTGGGATCCAGGGGCACCCTGACATCATGGTTGTGATCGCTCACGAGAGCTGGGCACTCTGATGTGCCGGAGGGCTGAGATGGTGCAATGCTAAGAGCAGGTAAATGCTGTGATGCTGCACTTTCAGTTGGGTGTTTGCTGGCAGGGAGCAGCCTGGGCAGCTCTAAAGAAGGAGCAAAGGAGGAGGTCAGGGCTGCAGAGCAGAGCTTTGCGCTCCAAGTTCAGGTGACTCCCAGACCCTCTGACAGCACTGCTGCCCTCACTCTTCACCCAGCCTCTTTCAAAGGGATTCCCCTTTTTGCTCCATACAATTGGGAGAAATTAAGCACAAAATTATGTTTTTGCCACTCTTGTACAACCCATCCACCTTTAAGACAATGTTTTTGTCTCTTGTTTAGGAAGGGGAGATGAAAACCTTTGGCTATAGGAAACCAGGGCTATCCTCCCTCAGGAAATCCTCTGGTTAGAAGCTAAAACTTCAGATTCATTTACTTGCCTGATTACTTGCTGTAAGGTAACCAGAGCTTGGCCTTTACTGCAGGGAGGAGACTTCCTCAAGAAGCCAACCAACTCCCCTGCCATGAAATATAAATCACCTGTAGCAGATATAGGGCCTGGATTCAGCTGGGGAGCCTCTGCCCTGGGGCTTTCCAGGTGCAGAAGAAACAGAAAGCCTCTGTCTCAATAGGTTTACAATTGAGGACAATAAGAAAACACACAGATGTCCTAGATGTTCTTACCAGACTCATTGCAGAGCATTAGACACCTTGAGAGAAAAGTCATGTACTGCTAGTTAAGGATTTAACATCTGAGTAATGGGATTGCTAGCCAGGAAGGTAGGCACTGCCATCCTATGTAAGAGAGATGAGGGATGGGGAGGATTCACTTCAAAACTGAGTCAGTGATAAAGAAAGCAGCATGGGAAGAAGTCATAAGGAAGTTATGATAGGACATATCCTAGTGATATGACAAGGGGTAATGGGTTAAAACTTAAACAGGGGAAGTTTAGACTGGATATAAGGAGGAAATTCTTTCCTGTTAGGGTGGTGAGGCACTGGAATGGGTTGCCCAGGTAGGTTGTGAATGCTCCATCCCTGGCAGTGTTCAAGGCCAGGTTGGATGAGGCCTTGGGTGATATGGTTTAGAGCGAGGTGTCCCTGCCCATGGCAGGGGGGTTGGAACTTGATGATCTTAAGGTCCTTTCCAACCCTAACTATTCTATGATTCTATGATTCTAAGTTTGGTGTGACCAAAGCAATGGGTTTTGACCCCAGCCTCGCCAGCAGCCACATTTTAAACCAGTTTTGTGTATTTTATTCCTCTGATATGGGCTCCTGACATGTGGTGTTCCCAGGGAGCTGATGAAGTGTGGAGAGCCAACAGCCAACTTGCAAGGGACTGAAATTACCCGGTGGCCTCTTCAGTGGGCAATGGCTTCATCTTTCCCAGTGTCACTGAGAGTGGGAGCCAGGGGCCGAAGGGACCTAAGCAAACCTATTTCTTCCCTTAACAAAGTAAATCCATCACATGTCTACAGCAAACTGTGTTGTCAGGCCAAAACCTTCCCTGGAAGCACAAACCCCATCCCAGCCAGATCGACTCCTGCCGTGTTGGCAGGACTTTGAGCCTGCCCCTCTTCACCCCTTCCTCATCTAGTCCTCTCCTTCCCCATCCTTGCTAGGAAGCCAGCTTGGTTCCTTGCCATGCTTTACCTGCATTCCCAGTGCAGGAGGGCAGCTGACTCCAGGCAGGAGCTGCCCTGATGAGCTGAGTGCTCACTTGTGTCTTCATGCAGGTAAGGATCCTCCCAGAGCAGCATTAACCACAGCAGCAGGTGTGTATCAAACAGCTTCCAGTTCTTACGCCTAGAGGCATAAGGAGCCTCTTGTTTCCTCTGTAAATAATTAGGGGGAGTTTGATGAGGTCTCACCAGGCTCTTCATGGCAGCAGCTTGAACTGCTCGTGCATTTCCACCCCAGAGCACCTGGGCCACGGGGAGCAGAGAGCAGGAGGGCTCAGAGGCATCATTTAGCACCACAGCATTTGCAAAGACAAAGCCAGGTTTCCTGTTGCAGTGGCATGTTCAGAAAGTGTTTGACTTAGGGGAAGAAGGAAAGACCTATCCTTTTTACCTTTCATAGCCACCCAGCTGGGCTGTGACCTGTGAGGTACCAGGTACCTGTGGATGGAGGGAGGTTAGGGACGATGACCCTGGCAGCAGAAGACCAGCTGCAGCATGTGTGCCTGGATAGCCCACCGTGGTTTGCTGGTCAGAGGAACCAGGCCCATTGCACTCATTGGAGTGAAGTCCAGAAGAGGCCATGAAGATGCCCCGAGAGCTGGAGCACCTCTCCTATGGAGACAGGCTGAGAGAGCTGGGCTTGTTCAGCCTGGAGAAGAGAAGGCTGCGTGGAGACCTTAGAGCAGCTTCCAGTGCCTAAAGGGATTACAAGAAATATGGAAAGGGACATTTTACAAGGGCCTGTAAGGACAGGACAAGGAGAAATGTCCTTAAACTGACCGAGGGGAGATTTGGATTAGATATAAGGAAGAAATTCATTACTGTGAGGGTGCTGAGGTGCTGGCACAGTTTGCCCAGAGAAGCTGTGGCTGCCCCATCCCTGGCAGTGTTCAAGGCCAGGTTGGACAGGGCTTGGAGCAACCTGCTCTAGTGGAAGGTGTCCCTGCCCATGGCAGGGACTCAGAACTGAATGAGCTTTAAGGTCCCTTCCATCCCAAACCATTCTGTGACTCTATGCTTGCAAAGGCAGTGGGATGAACACTCTGTTCACCAGTTTGGGTTATGCTGCTACCACCAACACGAGCCCACACCCCTGCCCATGCCTCCCTCTATACCTCACTCACCTCATTTCCCAGACCCTTGCAGAAGCTGTGGGGAAGAGAACACTGGACTGTCCAAAGCAACCCGCTCCCAGCTCCCTCCTTGGCTTACATGTCCCTGTGCAGATCAGCCATCACATTCACACAGGACATTTGTCAGTAGTGCTCCATCAGCTCGTCTGTGCTCTTCTTCATGGCCCTGTGCAACCAATGATGGTGAAAACTCAAATCAGTGATGCACAGGAACAATTGAAACTGTCTTCCCGTTCATTCATGACCCCCAAAGCCCTCTCCCCTCCTCTCTGTTTTCAGAAAGGGAACATTTTAAAGACTAATTCTCTTAGGATGAGCTCTGAGCAGGAGAAGGGAACAGTTCATACTCATAAGAGCTTCTCTGGCTTGGCTGCTCTTCACTCATCAATCAAATGGACATACATGGGCACTCGTAAACAGCTCTGAGATACGTGGGAATGATGAATGTCAGTGAATTGATGCTGGTCAGCTTGATGGCCAAGTGTACTGCTAAAAGAGCATCAGCACATGTTTTGGCTTTTAGGTGTTCACTTCATGTTTGTAGATGCTTTGACATTTAAAGCAGGTTTTCCACTGGCTACATGGAGCTTATTTCCTCCTTGTCAAATTAAATAAAAAAAGAGAAAAAGCCCTTTTAACTTTAAAGAAAACAAGGTTTACCTTTTCCACCCTGCCAAGAAATCAGATATAAATGACTTGAGATGCAGCCTGGCTGCCACTTGAGGCTGTCAGCAGCCACTTGCAGAAGAATATTGCCTTGGTTCATAGGTATCATGTCACTTGTCTTAAACATCTTCTGCTTTACTGGCAGTGCTGCGCTTCTGTGAGTGGCAGAGTAACGTGTGCAGGACTTTGTGTAGGTGCTGCTCTAAAAGCAGTTTATCAGAGTGTGAGCTCTTCCCCTGCTGCTGCGCCTTGGGCAATACCAGAACCTGCTCTTGGCAGTGGAGCAGCTCATTTTGTCTTCAAAAGCCCATATTTTAGGAGTCCCAAAATGAAGGGGATTGGTGAGAGAGGCTGGGGATGTCAATTCAATCTCGAGAGCCTGTGAAGAAGAGAGATGTCAGAGAAGTGCATGAGAAACCATCATGTTAGAAGAGATGTGGTACTGATGCCAAATCTGTGTTTGTGTGCACCAAACTCCCTCTCTGAATCCAAAACCATGATGGCACAGGAGAGTTTGGGTTTATACCACAGCACACACAGTTTCCCGAGTGATTGAGTCTTTCCTGGTTGCAATTTGTCTTCTTGCTAAAGGAAAGTTATTTCTAAATCACCTATGGAATTAGTTATTGTCCTGTTGCTGCTCCAAAATAAAACCTTTGTGAAGTAAGCAACAGTCCTGAGCAGCAGCTCTGGGAGCCAGGAGCAGAAATCAAAGTGAAACAGCATCAAGAACAGTTTTCAGCTCTTTAAAGCACTAATGTTGCCCCCTGGGGAAGAGTATTCATCTGTAATGAAAACCATATTGCTTACACTTTTATGGCTGCACAACTCGGTCTTCTGTGAGATTGACTCACCTCTGACACTTCCATGATGGGAGAGAGTAGAAATACTTTCCTCCCCAGAATGAGGGTTCACCCCAGGCATTCCCAAAGCAGCAGGTTATTTTTTGTGCTACTGGTCAGGATTTGCCTCTGAGATCATGGCCACAGCAGAGGAATGAAGCCCTGAGCAAGTTAAAGAGCTCCACAGCATATCTGAACAAGCTCTACTGTTTTATATCTCCTGCATCAAGACATCAAGGGGAGCACATGGAGATTTCATGGTCCTTAGCCCACAGGTACCACCACAAATCTCAAGGGCTCTTCAGGGAACAGAAGGAAATCCCCTCTAACTCTGCTGTGACACTGTCACAACCTCCTGCCCATACAAATACTGTTCCTTTTATGAAAAAGAAACCTTTTCTTGTTCAGCAGGAAACCCCTTTGGCTGCAGCATCCAAAGAGCAGGTTCTAAACACTGGTGGTGGAAGGTTGGAGCTTGGTCCAGCAGCACCTCTACAGTACCAGACATGGACAGCTGCAGCTGAGGAGTATCATCATATCTTGGACACAGGTGCAGAACCATCAAACCCCAGCATGCTGGTTTCTCTTACACCTCCTCCTTCTTCCTGTACACTCTATTCCATAACATAAGGCCAGAAGAGTTGGAGGATGACCCTTCCTTCACCAGTCTCATTTTGAAAACCAATCTGTACCAGTAACATGTGCACTGATGATGCAAGTGAGAAGTTGCCATTTCGAGCAACCTACATGTTTTGCTAGAAAACCCAGCAAATTTCCAAACTCTGCCCTGGAGACTCTTGTGCAGCCATTGATAAACCAGGCAGGGCCTTTTTCTTACATTGTCTGAAGCCGCCAGGGCTATGTGAACTTATAAAAAGGGACCTATTAGCAAAACACTGTTCCATTCACACATGAAGGGCCAGGCTAGGACCAGGTCATGCAGAAATAGTCCCACACTGTGGACCAGCAGTATTTTCATAGGATCATAGAATCACAGAATGGTTTGGGTTGGAAAGGACCTTAAGATCATCAAGTTCCAACCCCCCTGCCATGGCCAGGGACACCTCACACTAAACTGTGTCACCCAAGGCTCTGTCCACCCTGGCCTTGAACACGACCAGGGATGGAGCATTCACAACCTCCCTGGGCAACCCATTCCAGTGCCTCAGCACCCTCACAGTAAAGAACTTCCTCCTTACATATAACCTGAACTTCCCCTGTTTAAGTCTGAACCCCAACCATCCCATTCCAACTGTATGAAGATTTCAGTGAGGGATGGGCTTCCTTGCCACCACCAAGCTAAATTCTGTGCTGAAAACTTCCACCCAAGCAGGGAACTGCAAATGAGCTATGGGAAGGTGGTGATTTTTGAAGCAGGGTGTTGTACCCGCGTCAGGGACAGGCTGTTCCTGAGGCAGCCAACCTGTCTGGTTGTCATAGCCAGGCATCCTGTCTCTGACAGCAGCCCATAACAGATGCTTAGGGAAGATATAAATGCCAGGAAAGCCTGTAGTGAGACTTCCCTAGAAATACCAGAGACTTCCTGGACCAAAAATACTATCTCCATATTCAACAGCTCTCAGCAGATTTTTCATTCACCACTGTGTGCAAGAAAAATCATGTGGAAAAGCATCTTCTATTGTTCTAAAAACTGCTACCTGGCATTTTAATCTGATTCTCCACAGTATAATAGCTACTCCCTCATCACTGTCTCTGTGACAGGACCTGGAACCCCATCCTAGCTGGTTGGGCCCTTTGTACAGAAGCTGCTCTGAGCACTCTCCTTACCTTCTCCAGTTCTGCTATAAGCCAACAAGTGACCCACCAAAACCTTCAAACAGCCAAGAGCCATGTTGTGTATCTCAGCAGCGAGGGGATAGATGGCTCCAGTCACTCAGGTCCAAGATGAGAGAAGCTCCCCAGGGCTCCTTCAGTTGTGTTATGAGCCACAATGGCCCTGACAAGCCCCCTTACAAGAAAATTTGACTTAAATATAGAAGGTGGCAAGCAGATGGACCAGGAGAAATGCTTCTTTGTGCTTTTGTGTTCTCGAATCTGGTACACCGTGGAAGAGACCCCCCAAGAAAGTCAAGGCAGGACCATAGCTAGTAATGTCTTGTGACAAGTGCATAAAGCAGGAAGGAATACACTATAGATCAGTGCTGCTCAAGCCAGTTTTTGCCAAGGCTGTGCCGCAGTAAATTCTGTGTTAGCACATCCACTACTGAACACTGAGAATTATTGTCTATGATAACTGCGAATGAGGTCTCTGATAGTGACGCTCGTGAAGGTCAAGCTCTGAAAAGACGTACCAATTTTCTACCATTATGACTCTGATCAAGTCAGCAATGTCTGAAATTACAGCTGCCCCAAGCATCCCCCACAAGAGAAGAGCCCTGCCTGATGAAACCACGGCAATAAGTGATTCAGATGCAGGTAACCATCCTTCATTTCTTCTGACTTTGGTCAGGCCTTAAAAACACTGAGTCAGGTTTCAAATCAGCATAACCTTTTGCCGTCTTTTTTCAGTGAGGGAAGATACAATCACGCAGCAGAATGATGACACAGAAATCTGCAGCAGAGGATCAAATGTGCAATAATAAATCGATACTGCAGCCACCTCTTACCATTGATAGTGCTTAGTCATTTCTCCTTGTGTGCAGCCCTACCTCTGCTACCCCTTCCACCTCTCCTTTCCCTGGGACACCCCTAACATGGTCTCAAATCATCAGGCTGTGCTCTAAGGGAACTGCAGGAACAGGGCAAAGTGTCTCTTGTGGCTGAGTCTGCTCTGTATGTGCAGGTGCTATTTTAAACCATCGTGCAAAAGGATGCGGCTCCCATCAGCCAGGACATGTCTGAGCTTCTGTGAGACAAGGCTTTGCACTTCAACAGGCAGAAAACAGCATGAACTACTGCTGTCGCTGTGACAATACCCACGGTGGTGAATGCTGCAGCACTAAGTTATGGGTTAAATAAGCACACAGCTATAACACAAATCAAAGTAGCCCAGAGCAGATGTTATTTAGGTGGTGGACATTTTCTTAAATTAAATGTTTTCTTTCCCATATTGCTATGAGGAGGAGGAGTATCCCAAGTCAATCTCAGCTCACCAGAGACTGACTTAGCTGCTCTCTCTCACAGTCTGCATGGCTGCAAGACACATCACCAGCTGAATCATCTAGACTCAGAAGAACAGGGCTTCTGCTTGTATTAGTGTGAAGGATCTGACTTGTTCCCCATGCCTGTACTGTTGTGGCAGTAGACAAAGCTGGGGCACGCACAGGGTTGAGCTTTATGGATGGGGAGGAAAAGAACAAGAGAAGTGAAGGTGCAACAGGCACAGAAGATATAACACAGAGAACGAGTCATGGATCCATTGGCTGTGCTCCTTTCCAGCCCCAGGGAAAACCACACTGCGAATCTCCAGCAAGTGGTGGCATTCATCCCATGGCACTGTACTGCTTGGCTCTCCACCTCAGATGTGTTCCCCTCTTGCCTCTGGAGCACAGCTTGCAGAGGGGACCAAGTCTTGACTACACAGACCTAGAAGCATCCTGAGCAGCCAAGGATGGACTCTGAGGGTGAGTGGCTCTGGCTGAGCTGCTGTTGCAGGAGGCTGTAAAAGCAAGAAGAGAGAGAGGACATACATTCCCTCTCTGGAGGCATCTGGAGGTTTGTTAGTAAGCCAGCCCTTGCCCTTTGGTTGTTCTGCCCCCTTAGCCTTCAAGCCTAGCCAGGCATCCCGAGTCTCCACCAGACACAAGCAAATTTAAATTAGATTGCAATTAAACTTGCTGTTTAAACAAAACCTGATGTTAATGGAATGGAATCTGTTTTCTCTTTATCCCTGCTCTAAACCAACTGACTGAAAGAAATCAAGAACAGAATATAGCTGGGCACATATCCTAGAGAATCAAGCTGCACCTCAGCCCAGGAAATCAAACATGATTAAGCAACTGAGATGAATCCCCCAGTGCTGTGCATGCCGTGTTACCAGTGGAGGATGAGGAGCTGGAGATCTTGTTCACAGGCTGGCTGATTCTATTGTTACTGCGGGTACATTCCCTAACAGCCGGCAGTGTGGGTTTCTGACTCCACAGCAGGCGCTACAGAGCATCACATACTCTGCTAACTGTGCTCCGTGCTCATGGGCTGACCCACACCCGGAGCAGGACCGGTGCTTCCCCTGTCCTCTATCGCAGTAACCCACCTCTGAGCTCCCATTTCAGTTCAACATCAAGTATTTGTGTTCATGGGAGATGTCAAACCCCCACATGACTCCTTACCTTTAGCACATGCCTTGTTCTTGCTTTGCACATATCAGATGAGACCATCTATAATTCTCCCTGCAAAGATCACTTGGTTGCACAAGCACTGCCTAAAGCCTGGGCAGGAAGGAGGATGTTATACCATTAAGGAAGAGAAATTCTTTTCCACAAGGAAAAGCATTGGGCTCAAGACCTTACAGCCCTTATAATTCCTTCCCTGAGCTCACAAATGGCACTGGCTTCTTGTCACAGCATTACTGGTCTCTCGCCAGCTCTGTTCTCCTTCTGAAATACTTTCATGTTGTCTCTACCCAGCCATCTTATCTTGAACGGCATCCAAAAGCTCTTCCCCTTCCTCTTCCCCTTCCCCTTCCTCTTCCCCTTCCCTTTCCTCTTCCCCTTCTCCATCCTCTCTTCATGTCCAACAGTGCCTGCTCTCTAGCTTAGCATGGGGATTTTCACGATGCCGCATAATACATAACATGCCTTTGCAGCGTGTGAAATCCCAAAGGCACCTCTGGTGCCTCAGCTATGCAAGCAGGTGCCTGGGATAAGGCACCAAGAGGCACATAAGTCAATCACCCACACATGTGTTATGTTTTGGCTTGCATCTTGTTTCATGTTTTACAGGGAAAAAGGCAGACCCCTCTTGCTAACAGTTCCTAAACAGGAGCCTAAATCACAGCTTCGGCCTGTCTCCTTTATGCCAGCACAGGCACTAGGTCCTCAGCCTTGTCCTGCCCACAAACCCCTGCTGAAACAGGTTGGAGAGCTTTAGGACCTAAATCCTCCTCTTGGGTTATAAACAAGTTTCACAGGACAGCTCAGAGCTCAGCAGCTGGAACAGTGCCACGCTGCCATGTGCGGCACATGAAGCGCTAACACGTGTCCATAATGGATTTGCTGGGATGAGTTTCATGTTTCCTCCACCTGTTGCCCCTATTGTGGAGTCTTCCCCTCCCTGGGGTTTTGTCTTCATAACTCAAGATGTCTGTTTGTGGGGAAGCAGAGCTCGGTTGACCTTACTCTTTGCCTTGTCTCATCCTGAGAGGAGATCTCAGCAATTCCCAGGAGCAGGATGCATGGTCTAGGGAGAAGGAAAACAGCCACAGCCTCTTCCAAGGCTGTTAAGCTAATCAGATGATAGATAGCTTGATGTTTGCATCCTTAGAAGAAGCCCAGTTAAAGGAGGACACACAGTTTCTATCTTCTCTGCCTTAAGAGATGGTTGTAAATTAATTCACATATTACCCAAAGTGGGGTTACCTGGGTTAATACCTAATGGCATTGTCCAGATGAGCTCCCTCCTATTTGGGCCACAAATTTCCTGAGAAAGTTTGCTTTCTGAGGCCAAAAACAGGGTGAAAAGGGCTCCACTGTCCCATAGGCAAAAGGCTAAGCTCAACATGGTCAGTCATTGCATTGATGTATAGAGGACCAGGGACCAGTACCAGTAACAAAATTCACAGATTATAAATTAAAATTACTTTTAATAGCAAAAAAAGCCATAGTAGGGCCAAATCCCTTCAAAATGCAGTTGCATCAAGGCCTGGATTGCAGTAAGGAATAGAAACATTCTGGGGGCAGTTCATGGTGGCAGCTAGCAGTGAAATGAAAACTGAACTTGCTCCCATATTGGAGTTGAAGGGCAGTGGACTACCAGATCACTCAGTCTGACCTCCTGTAAGGTGTAAACTTTCATGTCACACAGTGTT